GAGCGGACAACAGGCAGGACAACCAATGAATAACCAGGATCATCTATAGTCAGACAAGTATGTCAAGGCAGCCGTCAGGGGCCTGGGTGCCATGAGAGCCTCCCCAGGGCAGCAGCCCAGCAGAGCAGCAGGAGCAAGTGTGAGGTTTTCACAGGACCGATGGGAGGAGAGACATGAGAGGGAGGAGGCCTCCAGGTTCCTGGCTCTGAGGGACCATTCCAGAGAGGAGATTAGGGTGCCCAGAAGATCTGAGAAGCTTCTCTCCCAGGAGAGGCTGCCTTGCTTGGGATGGGGAGAGGCCAGGGAGCAGGGCTGAGGGGACAAGTGCAGATATGACCCCTAAGAGGGCAGAGCAGTGGGGGGAGGGGCACAGGGCGAGGCTGAAGGACTCAGGACTAAGCAAGGTCGGGAAGGGGGGTGTTTTCACAAGGGGCCAGACATGGTGGAGAGGGAGAGGCCAAGGCAGCCAGAGGCAAAGGAGACAGAAAGAGGCCTTCAGACCCTCAAAGCTCACTCATCGCACCCAAAAAGTAGATGGTGGCAGATCCCCATTTAGGAGAATTTCATGTGTACGCAAGTGTCCCCAAGCGTCTAACTCCATACCCAAGTATCCGGGATGAAATGACATTGTGTTTGAGATTTAAAGAACTTCAACAACAAGAAATGGTGACACAAATACGGCAAAACATTCACAACCGCTAATCCAGGAATTGGCATGTGGGTGCTCATTGAGCGGTCCCTTTCACTGCACCGCGTGTGTAAAATCGTCCTCATGAAAGGTACAGATGAAAGCCCCCACCAGGGACCACCAAGCTGCCCACCGGTGGGCAGGATGAAGTGTTGAGTAGGCCATGGTGCTTGTGCGGCAATGGCCGACACGAGGTGGGACCTTCTGGGAACGGCCCTTGGGCTGAATCTGTCAAGTGGAGGCCACATGGACCATTTACCCAGCAATTCCACTTGTAGGCAAGTTATCCTGCAGAGACTCACACGTGCACACAAAGCCTGTGTCCGGGGTGGTCTGTGGTGGACAGAATCAGAAACACCCTAAATGCCCCTCAATAAGAGACCAGCAGTATACTGAAATATCCGTGCCATGCGGCCGATCGGTCCCTGAAAATCAGATCAGTGTGCAATCAAGTGCATGATCCCAGAGACATCATTAAGTGGAAAAAAGAGAGAAGGAAGGAAACCGTGTATACATATGCTGTATTTTTAAAGACAGCAGATACCACATCCGTAACTTGAACACTCTTTGATCATCTCTGAAAAGAGTAGGAAGAGACTTGCAGCGCCCTCCCTCCAGGAGTGAGAACAGGGAGACACTCCCCCTGCAGACGGAGGGCATCTCCTCCATAGGGGGCTTTTTTCCCAGAACTAACAGAGATGAAGGAAACCCTGAGGAGGAAGAGGGAGGTGGAGCCTGAACTTGCAGGGGTGTTGGAAGCTGACTGACCAGGAGAGAGGCCCACCCGGCCTGGAACCCGGAGGACCAGGTAAGGGTAGGCGTCCCTCTTCTCTGAAGTAGGAGCAGGCCATTTGCTGACTGCGGGGTAAGGTTGGGGGGGTCCTGAGAGAAACGGGGAGAGAGGAGCTGGCAGGACGTGTGAGGGTTGCTCAGCACACCACGGCGGGGAGTGTCTGACCACTGCAGCCCACGCGGGAAAATGGCGTGGGGCCAGCAGCAGGGCTGCCAGCAAGCATGGGGCTGGCCTCGCAGGGAGGGGTGAACATGCGAGGGGCGGACTGGGAGCCAGAGGAGGGCGAGGGCCTGGACCTCCCCCCCGGGAGGGACAGAGCCCAGCCAGAGGGGGCACGGATGCTGTGGGAACAGGAGACTTCAGTGGTGCAGCAGTTGGGGGCACAGAGCCGGGAAGGAGGGAACAGGGGTGAGTGTGAGCCAGGACCACGGAGGCGACTGTAGCAGGAGGAGGGGGACCACAGATGCTGGGAGGGCACAGGGCTGAGAGCTGCGACGGAGGGTGCTGGGGCATCACATGGGGCCTGCTCCTGCACTACTGTCGCTGTCTTGAACTTCTTAAGAATTTCACCTCTGAACGTATGCTTCGTAAATGAAGTCTGGGGGATGATGAAGCCTGCATGAGAGCAGGGAGATGCACATGACAAGCGTGCCCATCGTTCCTGGCCGCCCCACGTGCATACAGCACTTTTGTAATGGGAGAATAGCAGAGACCCTGGCTCCTGGAGAGAGCTCAGACACAGAGAAGGCAGTGGCCTTCTAAGAAACATGAAGGACCAAGGAACCCACCTTACCCTTTCTAACTAGGGTTCTTTCCTGTAGGGGCCAGCCAGTTGTGCAGAAAATGATGACAGAGAAGGAAAGAAGACACGGCGCCCACAGCTCCTTCTCCCTTCAGCCTTCCTGACTCACGCCCAGCCAGGGTGGAGTGTGGGTAGTTGGTGCGGGTACGAAGTGGAATAACGAATGCTCACAGAAGCATCGCTCAAGTTAGCCAAAAAGTAGAAACAACCCAAATATCCATCAGTGGATGAATGGAAACAAAACGCTCTATATACGCCCAGTGGAATATTATTCAGCCATAAAAAGGCACGAAGTACTGACTCACACTACAGTGTGGATGAACCTTGAAAACATGATGCTCGTTGAAAGAAGCCAGATACAAATGGCTATGTATTGTATAATTCCATTTATATGAAATGCCAAAAATAGGCAAATCCGTAGAGACAGAAAGTAGATGTGGTTGCCAGGTGCTGGGGAAGGAGAATAAGAAATAACTGCTCCCGGGTACAGGGTTTCTTTTTGGGGTGAGGAAAATGTTCTAGAATCAAACAGTTGCTTTCACAACTCTGTGAATATACTAGAAACCACTGAAAAGTACACTTTAAAAGGGTGAATTTTATGGCATGTGAATTACTTCTCAGTAAAAAATAAAAATAAGATAAAAATAAAGAATGCAACTCTTATCCTCATTAACATAAAATACACCTAGAAACAAGTGGCCATAGAAGCAAACCAGAACTCCCTGTGGTGTCTGGCCTCAAGCCTTCCGGCACCGTCAGGACCATCGTGGGTTCAAGTGGCTTTGCCGCTGGGAGAGTCCAGTCTGACAAAAGCAGTCAGCCAGTTCATTGTGTCAGGAAAAATAAAAGTGCTTATGAGGAAGCTGATTCCTCAGAACAAGAAATTAATCTAAAAATAAAAGAAAAAAAAGTGAAGGGAAAGCAGTTTTGTGCAGAATGAAATACACATACCTGTCCCAGGCAGGAATGTGCAGTGTGTGATTTTGATGATTCTGCATAAGAGCTAAATGCTCTCGTGTTGGCATCTAAAGTGGCAAAGCACAACATAAAGACGAATGGTGATATTCAAGCTGATGAGATAAACACTTAATTTATGTTTAGTTAGACTGACGCATTTTTAAAAACACCGTGACGAGTCAAGAGAGACCTGCAATGAGAGGAACACTTTATATTTAGTATCTTTACTGACACCTTTTCCCCACTTGCTGAACAAGTTGCCCCACAAAATGTGTAGCAGGCCCAAGGGCCCCCTCTGGAGACACTGGGAAGGAGAGACTCTGAGGGGTGGGGTAGCGGGGGACTAGGTGGGGTGGACCCCCGCTGGGCCCTGTGACCCTGTAACTGCAGGCCTCACAGCCCAAGGGCCGCGTCCTGGGGAGCTAGAGGACGGCGACTCAGCGTGAGTTCTGGCGGCCTGGTGGTCTGAGTTCTTGGCATGGTCAGCCTGGCCTGGGACCCAGCATCTGAGCAAGGAGGACCCTGAGTCCTCCCAGCGTGGTGTAGGGGAGGCACAGGGAGAGAAAGGCCAGCAGGGCCTGCCAGTGGGTGACCGTGGCCTCACCACCCTCACTTCTCGGAGCCATGGTGTCCCCCTTTGGGCTGTGTGCTGCCTCCTTCCCAGGCTGTGGGAGGGGAAACAGCTGAAGGGGAAATGTTTTGTGAACTGCCAGCATGGAGAGGCACCAAGAGGTGGCGAATGCCATTGGCCAGGATCTCCAGACCCCACTCCCCAAGAGCTGGCACTGGACCAGAACCCTGCCAAGGGGTGTGGGGGCCAAGACGTGCTACACGGGACCCAGGACAGGGAGAGCCGGGGCACCTGAGCCGCCTGTCAAAGTGTAAGAGTGTTCTGGGCTGGAATATCCGGAAATTCGTGTCGCAGGCTGAGGGCCGCAGGGGAGTGCTGAGGTGCTCTGTGTCCAAGGCCAAGATGCCATAGGCCAGGCAGAGGAGTGTGGCCTGGCCCAGGGGTGGCGCTGACCACCTGCACACATAGTCACCCCAGGACCACCTTCCCTGTCCAGGCACTCAGGGCAGAAGGGTCAAGGAAGATCCCCCAGAAATGGAAGGGCACATCACCTGGCCATGTGTCCCATGCCCACCCCATGGCCCACCCACTTGGCACAGGCAAGGCCCTTCTGGGAAGAGGCCTTCGAGTGTCCACCCTGCGCAGAAGCAGCCCTGACCCTGCACCTCCTCCTCTCTTTCTCAGACACTCGACATTCTCTGCATGGAGCATGCAGCTCAAAACACAAGACGCCCGTTCTTGCTGTAGAAAGTTCGGGAAAAGACAGAAAGTCACCGCAAGAGGAATAAAATGCCCTCCAAGATCACCCCCCAGCCCTTGGGACCCTCCTCCTTCTTCGTGTCCTGTGGACTATGTGCAGAATTGGGGCAGGTCATTCCCACACCTGAGGGGCGCCTCCCCGACCGTGGAAAACAACGAGGTGTTAGTTCTGTCGTGGATCCTTCATTTTCTTCACTCCCAGAATAAATGTTCATTACTTTCAAAATGGGACAAAATGGCCCACTTAATCAGGAGCCTTTTTAAATTTAAAAACGTGACCCCAAGGCAGCAGCTGTCCAGCCCGGGACCTGTCCAAGGCGGAAGCCCCTTGGCCCAGCACGGGCAGAGCCAGCCCCACTGCCTGCCACGTTCCTCCCCCCACCGCCTCCTTTAAAGGTGCCCTGGGGCCTCAGGCCTGCCACCTGCAACCATGCACTGTCTTGCCAGCCTTGCCCTGGCCCTCCTCGCCCTGGAGGCTGCCCTCACACTGGCCCTAGCCCTCTCTTTGCCAGGAAGGCCCAGGCTGCCCTCCTCCTCTGGGATCACACCCAGGAGGTTCTTCCCCACCTCCTTCTGCTCTGGGTGCACCCCTGGAATGCCACCAGCCTTGCTGCTTCACTGACGGGGACAGGAAGAGCAGAGTGAGCAGAGGAGGCACACCCCAGGGGGGTCAGGGATGGCAGAGAAGCAGGGCATTGCCCAGAGACCCCACATGCTGGGGCCGCGAGCTGCAGGGCCGAGGCCACCGTCCTGGGATGAGAAGAGACCAGGAAGCTAACTGGGCATGCGGTACCTGTCCTCAGCCCCTCAGGACTTACCTCCACCTCCTGCAGGGGGCCCGCTCTTGCTTCCTAACGTTCACAGCTGACTCACGCTTCTGTCAGCCATGTTGCATTTCTGGCAGATTTTTTTCCCCTTCCAAGAAACAGTGTTGGGGTGCTAGGGATCGGACCCCCCGTGGTTCCTGCCTGGCCCCCCCTTGCTGGTCAGGTGGAGTCTGGCCGGCCTCCCACCCACCAGCCCGTCCTGTGTGCAGGGCAGGCCACCGTGTGCCCGGAGCTCAGCTCCTCCCCCAAGGAGTCCTGCGTGATCTCCTGCTTCACCCACAACAGCTGCCCCTCAGGGTCCAGGTGCTGCACCCAGAACCCTGCAGCCACTCCTGCCTGGTCCCCCTCACTAGTGACACCTCCGGCCCTGCCCCAGCTGAGCCCTGTCCAGGAGGAGGGAGGAAACAGCTTTGTCAAGGGTCCACTCCCCTCCCTTAGTGAAGCCCCAGCAGTCCCATAAACTAGGCCAGGCCATGAGCCCGGTTCCCTCCTGGACCCGCCCGAGGCCCAGTGGAGGCTGGCGGCCTCTTCCCAGCATCACCAAGGCCCCGCTCACCATTCACAGGCTGCAGTCTCCCTCTCAGCCGGGTCCCTGAGGGCTCCAGGTTACCAGGGTGCGGTGGGGACCCCGTGGCGAGACAAGCAGGGGGACAGCCCCAGCAGGTCCAGTGAGCCATGAAGGGCTGGCCCGAAGGCGGGCCGCTGCCCCGGGTGCAGGCCCCCTGGTCCCAGAGCCCTGCTGGGAGAGCAGCGAGTGCTCCAGGGACGACCAGAGTGAGAACAACCAGAAGTGTTGCTTCAGCACGTGTGCCATGAGGCATCTGGATCCTAACACAGGCGAGCGTCCCGGAGACCCCTCCCCCAGCACACCTTCCCCTAGCAGCTTCTCCTTTTGCCTCTCCTGATCTAGGCAGCCTCCGCAGGGCCCTGAGGGCAGTGCATGCAGGGGAAGGTGGGGAGCTCAGGAGGAGGCAGGATCAGGCCTTTGCTGGTACTTGATGTGGCCGCTGCAGTAGAGCGTAGATGTCAGGCCAGCAAAGGGGACTCAGAGGAGCCCCGAGCTTGCCTGGTAGGACTCAATGCAGCCGGGCCACCTGCAAGGCCTGTGCCTTTGCCACTTAACCTTGGGGAGCAGCTGGGCTCCCAAATGTGGGAGGAGCTCTGGGTTAGGAGCCCAGAGATGCGGTTCCCTGCTAATAGACCTCTCCCGCCTGCCCACGAAGACTGTGAGGGCTGGCGAGCGGTGGGTGTGGAGGGCCCGCTGACCCATCTGCATGCAGTGCCCCTCCCGCCCCTGCCCCCATCGTGGTCAGGCACCACAGCCTCCGAGGCCTCCGCGTCCCCTGCAGAGGAACCCATTCAGTGACAGACTTCCCCAGGAACCCCTGGCTGCCAGGGGTGACCTGCCTGAGTCTGCTCAGCAAAAGCCTTCTCGGATCCAGAGATGCCTCCTACCTGCTGCCAATAAAAACCCACTTAGCCTCACGTCTCTCCATCCATCAGTCTGTCTGTCCTGGGTACCTGCCAGGAGGGACTAAGCACACAGGCCTTGCCTCTGAGAGCTCCCCGGCAGGCCAGGGCGGCTCCAGGGAAACAGGTGATTCTGCCTGGTGACGAGTGTGTGGGTGGTGCAGAAGCAGAGCCAGACTCGCAGAGCTGGGGCCACGGTGGCATCTCTGGGCAGGGAGAGGCTTGTCCACCCAGCTCTCAGGCGCTAGCCCTACAGGGTCTGACCCCGTTCAGAGGCGTTGCTGGGCATGCGGTGGGGACAGAAGGGGAGCCTGCAGGGAGGGCTTAGGCTCAGAGGTCGCTGTGGCCTCTCTCCATACCTCATTGGCCTTGACCAGTTTGGGGGGCATGCAGAGGGCAAAGGCAGTTATGGAGAGTTTAAATATTGACACTGCTCTAGGCAGCCTTGTTCAGGACCTCCAGTAAAACATGCAGTCCCACCCCGACACCCAGTGGGTGTCCTACAATTCATTTCAGCTCTGACATTAACACCTGGAGTTCGTGTCAGCCCCAGAGGTCAAGGGCTCAGTCCCACAAGACTGCCCCTACTGCAGAGGCCAGCCTCAAGCCCTAGGGGCCACCTGCACTTCTGACTCACTTGGCTACAAATTTGGGGGCTCCCACGGCCCCCACAGAGTCAATAATTCACTAGAACAACCCATAGTACTCTGAAAGCACTATACTTAGGATTATAGTTCTGGTTATAAAGGATACAGACCAGGAACAGCCAAATGAGGAGATACACAGGGTGAGGGCGGGGAGGGGGATGCAGGAGACTCTGTCCCCACTGGGCCAGGGTGCGCCACCCTCCCAGCATATCGACTGTCGCCAACCAGGAAGCCCCCCTGAGGTTCCAAGTCCAGAGGTTTTCTCGAGGCTCATTAATAGGCATTGTGACGAAATCTTCATCTGTTGGTGATTAACTCAATCCCCAACCCTCTAGTGACATAGTTGGCTCCTCTGGCCAGTTGGGTGGGGCCTGCACTAGGTCCTCACCAGCTCTTCAGCAAATCAAGAACCACTGGGCGAGGCTGCAGGGCTTCCAGATTTCAAGGGAATCTCCGGGAATTCTGGGAGATTCTTAATCTCCGGGAATCTTGTTAAAATGCAGATTCTGATTCAGGAGGTCTGGAATTCTGCATTTCCAGCCAAGGGAGGTCTGGGAGGCCCCAGCACAGGGAGACATGGGAGCCTGGAGCTGGGCAGGGCAGTCCCTGGGCCACGTCCCCAAGGTCCCTGAGCACAGCTGACTGCTGCCTTGTCCCGCAGCAGGGCTGGGGCTGGCTGTGACCATTAGGGACACAGTGCCAGAAGTTGGGTTGCCAAGGTTAGAACTTGCCGGACCTGGAGAAACCCTCACCCACAGGTCACCCAGTCTGTGAGGCAGCTGCTGCAGAGGACCAGCTTCAGTTCCACACCATGTCCCACACCATGACGCTGTCCCGCCACCGTCAGTGGTCACTGCTCCCTGGCAGGCATCTGGAGGTTGACAGGTTTGGGTAGACTCACTTGGCAAGCTGTTTGTCCACAGGAGCAAAGAGTGGACATCTGCAATGCCATGCAGCCTCTAGAAGGCATCCCCCTCTGCCATCTGTTCTCCATTATGTTCCTTCTGCCTCATGGTTGATAAACTGACACCCAGTGAGAAATGACAGAAATGGGCAGGGCTCTGGGAGTCACTTCACTTCCAGGAAGCCCCTACAAGTCCAGCCCAGGGGGCCCTGGAAGGTCCACCTCCAGAAGAACTGTGTGCCAGCAGAACTCTCGTTTTGTGGATGCCTCAAGGCCCCTTGAGGAGCAGGTAGGGCCCACCAGGCTAGCACAGCTGCCCACAGAATTCCTGCCAGGCAGCAGCCAGGACTTTGGTGAAATATAATTAAAAACAAAATCTCCCAACCCAGAAAATCTCTCCAGAAAGGCAGACAAGAAAGGAAACAGATGTATTATTGAATAAGCACTAAACCAGAATTCGGTGCTCAGTGCTCATCTCGGCTGCTAAGAGATGGCAAAGACGGGAAGAGGCTCACCCTTTTTACAGCCAGGTCAACCCATCCATACATGTTCTCAAGAGAGACGGAAACCAGTCCTGCAGTGAGAGCGCCTGACAGCATCGTCTGTCACACAGCTCACCCTCCACTCACCTGGCAGCTTTCAGGGGCGCGACCTTGAAGAGATGCTCCCAGGTCCTTGAGAGACGTTCCTGGGTCAAAGCTGACAGAAGGCCTACTGTCTTCCAAAGAATGTGCATGCATTTCAAAGAGAGGAGGAAGTGCATGTGATTACAAGTTGTCTATGGTAAATTCTCTGAGAAAAAGGAGAGGAGGGAAGTCTTCCCCTGTTCTAGGGAGAGGTAATGTTACGGGGTTCTCTTGCTCAATGCACATTTAAAAAGTCAATTATTACAGCATCAGCTTTTGGGGAAAAAAATCAGCTTTATTTTGTGAGATTGATCTGCAAGGAAACAGGGCATATGCTCTCTGATCTGTCTCCCCAGTCCAGGGCTTGGGGCACAATTTATGGGATGAAGCACAGGGCAATCTGAAGTGTGGAGATAGATGACTGGAGGTAAGGAGAAGTGAGATAATTGATGATCTGCACAAGCGTAGTCAAGGTTCATGTTTCTTCATAGGATGCACGTTCACAAAATGACAGTGTTACCATGATCTGAGGATGGAGTTTTTAGCTCCTTGATGTCAAAAAGGCCATGTATCACAGAGTGACATCAGCGTCATGGCGGAGAGAGTTGTTCCCTTTGTCTCTTCCCTCTAAGTTACAACTAAACGGACATTCGTCAACCAAGAGAGGATTCCCTACATGACACAATAGGACACCTGATAGATTCATGCAGCTATACATCTGAAAGCAGGTGGACTGGACCCCCGGAAAGCAGTGGAACTAGGGGAGCAGCCCCCTCTGCCTCCCCCGCAGCACTGATCCAGGTCCTGGACCCTCACACAGCGGCCAGTGCAACTGTGAGTGGAGGTGGGGGCAGCCCAGCCCACACACCAATACTTGCAGAGTGGCAGTAGCCCAGCCCACAGGAGCACCTACCATGCTGCAGCAGCCTCACCCACATGAATGCAGAGTGGCCAACTGGCACAACTACGAGCAGACAGGGTAGGAACAGAAAAAACAGCCTCTGCCCCCCTCCAATGGTGACAGGTGGAATCTATGACCAGAAGCAACAGGAACCACAGCAGACCCACTGACCCAGCCCCCAGTGGTGGCAACCCTAACACCAGCTCCCCCAGCAGCAGGGGCTGTATACAAGTCCCTGTGTCTCCAGGACCCCACCAGCAACAGTGACACCCATGAACCCAGCATCCCTGGCAGTGGTGCAACCAACAACTCCAGACAACCTAGGAACAGCAGCACAAGTGGTGCATGGGACAGCAGCATCCAAGCCCGCGGACAGCCAGTGGAGGAACACAAGACCCAGGTGACCAGAACCAAAGTAACCAAAGCTGTACCCAAATAAGAAAAGGTGATTACTACTACAAATGCACTGGCAGAGGATCAATTCATCAAACACCATGAAGAACTACAATAACAATGCAGAATAGAAGGAAAATGACAACTCTCTAGAAACCAAACCTGAAGTCACAGAAGACTACAGTCTAACTGACAGAGAATTCAAAATAACTACCATAAAGAAACTCAATGTGTTACAAGAAAACTCAGAAAGACAGTTCAAAGAGCTCAGGAATACAATTAGTGAACAGAAGGAATACTTCACCAAAGAGATTAAAGCTCTGGGGAAAAAAAAAAAACCCAAACAGAAATTCTGGATATGAAGAACAGAATTAATGAGATAAAAAATAATGTAGAAAGCATAAAAATGGAGTAGAACTTACGGAGGAGAGAATTACTGACCTCGAAGACAGAAACCTAGAAACGCTTCAGGTGGAGGAGGAGAGAGAACTAAGATTTTTTAAAAATGAAGAAATTCTTAGAGAAATATCTGACTCAATTAGGAAAAGTAACATTAAAGAATATAGATATATATCCCAGAGGGAGAAGAGAGGGAGAAAGGATCAGAGAGCTTGTTCAAAGAAATAATAGCTGTTATCTTCCCAAACCTGGAGAAGAAACTGGATTTACAAGTACATGATGCCAATAGAACTCTTAATTACATCAATGCAAAAAGACCTTCTCCAAAGCAGATAATATTAAGTGTCAAAAATCAATGACAGAGAAAAATATTAAGGGTGGCAAGAGAGAAGAAAATAACCTACAAAGGAACTCCCATCAGGTTCTCAGTGAATTTCTCAGCAGAAACCTTACAGGCTAGGAGAGAATGGAATGATATATTCAAAATACTGAAAGACAAAAACTATCAGCCAAGAATACTCTATCCAGTGAAATTATCCTTCAGATATGACAGAGAAATAAAAGT